GTTCTTGAACAGATCAGATCAGGGCTCTCCTTGGAAGCAAAGATGATCAAGTTGAGACTATTGTCCTTTGGCCACATCATGAGAAGGCAGGGATCACTAAGAAAAACAATAATGCTAGGAAAGGTAGAGGGTAGAAGAAAGATGGATAGACTCGATCGGGGGATTATGGGCAAGGACTTGCAGGATCTGGGCAAAGCAATGGAAGGTAGGTATATTTAGAGATGTTTCATTCACAGGATTGCCGTGAGTTGAAATCAACTCGAGGGCAGCTAACAACAAATGCAAAGCTTACCCAACCTGGTTGTTTCATTTAACACATGCATATTTTTGGTTTTGAATAAAAAGTTTGCAGAAATACATTGAACTGTTTTTTTTTTCTTTTTTAAAAGGAAGACAGCTGGTCCTGAAGATTGGCTTCAATATGAAGAAAGGGTATTCACTTTTTCTGCTTTTTATGAAGGTCCATTTTTTGTAATATTTATAAGGTTATCTAACACATACTTTGGCTAAAACTGAAGGGGTTTTCTTTTGAGTGCTTGGAAGTAATTAGTTGCAACAATGAGTTACACGTAATTAATTTATTTTCTACTAACAAAGGTAAGGTGAATTATATGGTGATGATACCTTATTGGGAAACCTTACTCCTTCTGCAGTGCAAGTGTTCTCATGTCTGAGTTACTTGTATAAGTACTGGCAAGTGGCCTCACTGAAACACGTGTGGCCAAGCTATTTCACAGTGTGGCTGAGAAGGCAAATGTTATTAACAAGAAAGAATAAATAAGCTAGGAGAGGCTGCAGCAGCTTTCTTTTGACTGAGCCCTCTTTGAAGGGGAAAATTCTACCCCCTTCTCTCTCCTCTTCTCTGCTGACCTACCTGAGTACAAACTACTTTTTGCACTGTGAACTGAGTTTGCAGCAAATGAAGTAAGCTGAGTATACAGGGGGGAAGTGGGAGGAGGGGGAGAAAATGGGACATTTTAAAATCAGTTGGAAAAGTGGGATGACAAAGAATTAATCAGAACTGTTCATGACACATCAAGGCAGTTGGAGCTAAGAATGGAAAGATATAGCTAGCATCTATCTATCTATCTATTCTATCTATTCTATCTATCCATCCTTCATTCCTTTCTTCCTCCATCTCTCTTTGGGGAGGGAGCAATTTACACCAAATGGGGACGTTTTGGGTAAACCCCACAGCTGTGTGTAAGAAGGGACAAAAAGATTAAACTTCCATCACTCTGTAAGGCTTTCCATAAAATGAGAATCCTCCCAGATGAAATAAAACAAAAGAAATAATAACAATATTTTCTAAAGAAAAGAAATAACAGAGGTGTCAAGGTGGTCCCTCAGGCCATTTCTCCTCCACTTTCAATTCAATATGCTAAATGTATGTCAGCCTTCACCCCTCTGGCTTGACAAGGTGTGATGGACTATAAGAACCATCACTTACAGCCAATATGTCGATCAGCAATATGGTCTGGAGTGAGAGGAGTAATGGTACTATATAACATATCTTGAGGATGCCAGGTCAGAGGAAGCAGAGAAACTTCCCACAAACATATTCCAACACAATTAGCCACAAAGCAACTAATAGCAGCAGTGCAACACCTTAAACAATTGTTTAATTCATGTACGATGGCAGCAGCAAAACAGAATGGCACACTAAGGCTGGCATAGGGAAGGCATTATTAATATGTTCCACATTGGCCTGTGGACCCGAATGAGAAAGTATGACCTTAACTAGAGTTTGGAAGTACCAGGTTGCAAGCAACATTGCTTGTAATAAATTACTTTTGGTGTTACAAAGGGCATAAAAATGGTAACAGTTTAATCTTTTTTTTTACTAGTTATTAATTTTGGGTGGTAATTTGCGGCACATTTCTGCCATTTCTAGCCATTATTCTATTTTAAGTGGGGTTTTTTTGTTTTTGTTTTTTTGGTAAAATAATGATAGCCATAGTAAAAGAGATGATGTACTTAAAAAGTAAGGTGTTAACAATGATACAAACATACTACTCTCAAAGCAATAAGTAACAGCTAACGTAGCACATTGAAAAATTAATGAGTAACTACTAATGCATTACTTGGGGGGTGGGTGTGTGTGGAATCCCCAGATCTGAACTGAGCAATTTTCTTTAACTAACTCCCCCACATCTTACCATGGTTCAATAATTTGTTTGGTAGTACCCAAACCAATCCCTCTGCATTAGTTGGAAAGCTTTTCAGTCAAAATTGCAAACAAGTAAATTAACCAAAGAGGAACTATAAGTAATCAAATCTGGAGGCATGCCATTAATTACATTTGAATGGCAAGACATAGCGCTGCAGTACAGGCTCTCATATTAAAACAAAGCATTTAATTAAGTCAACAGACAACAAAATGCAATGAACAATATTCAAATGGGGAAGAAAACATGCAAAAATAGCCAGCTTGCCTCGGTCATTGTTTCACATCTAAACATGTCGATTCCTGGGTACGTATCAGCCATGCACAATGTTGGCATTCAAAGCTGCTGTGGGTCAAGTGTGATGTTCTTTTAACGGCAACAATGAAACATCTGGCACTATGAAATGTTAATGCATGATATCATATTGAAAATCGGAAAGGGAAAAATCAGCTCCCAAACACCCTCTGTTTTGGAAGATTTTGATGGTGTGCATTTGAGACTGTTGCCTAGCTTCATTTCAGCTAAGGCTCATTTGTAAATTCTTTTTGGAAAATGTGTTCAACACCCACAGCCTGCAAAGTCAAATATTGCGGCAGCATCCTAACTAATTCCTGCTAAACAAAGATGAACTGAGAATTAGTGAGTTTGTGACTTATTTCAGTCACAAACTCACCAAGTGGCCCTTTAGTGGCCCAAATATTGCAACACACATATAATAGGAAGACAATAGTATAGGTTGAGTATTGCTTATCCAGAAGTCCAAAATCCAAATTCCTCCAAAATCCAAAATTGTCCACATGGGTGCCTGAGATAGTGACACTTTTGCTTTCTGATGGTTCAGTGTATACAAACTATGTTTCATGCAAACAATTACTAAAAAAAAATATTGTGTTTAAAATTACCTTCAGGCTATGTACATAAAAAGTGCATAGATATCTCATAATGTATATGCAAATATTCCAAAATCCAAAATCTGGTCCCCAGCATTTTGCACAAGGGCTATTCAACTTGGATAACATGCTGGATTATTGTTAGAGGGAATCAACAGAAAAAGACAATGGTGCTGGAAAGGTGGAAGGCAGCAGAAAAAGCAGAAGATCATATTCTAGGTGGATAGACTGAGAGGTTTATCGCATTAACTTTTAAGTTGACATCAGCTTACCAGGATGCAGCTAGGACATGGCATGGAGGCGGGAATTATCACACTGTAATTCGCTGCCAAATCCGCCAGATGATGGTAGCCCGGGTCCTAGCCACACTCTGCCAGCCACCATTAAAACTCTGTTTTCAAAAAAGGATGGCTGAGCACAGCTGGGACCGCGGCTGCAATCACTTGGTGGATTCAGTGGCAAATTACAGTGCAATAATTCCCACCTCCATGCCATGTCCCGGCTGCATCCTAGTAGGCTGATGTCAACTTAAAAGGTAATGTAATAAACCTGTCAGTTAGGGTTCTGAAGGACCTGAGCAGAGAGGCTGAGGACAGGAATCTTGGATATTTCTCATCCACAAGGTTGCTATGAGTTGAAGCTGGTTCAAGGGCAGCTAACAACAACAAATTTCAGAAGAAGGAACTGGCAAAACTACCTCTGCTTCAAATCAAGACTCAAGATAAGCAAACGAATGCCACCCAGGCTCAAGGGGTTTACCAATTAAATCCAGACAAATGGATTACCAATTAAACAGACACAAATTCCCCTCACATATCTCCCACACAACACATCTCCAAGCTGTGTCATTCAACACAGCGCAACACACAAACTAACTCCACCATTAACATGTAAAAGCCACTTCCTCCAAAACAAGGGTCCCACAGATATATAGATGCCAGCCACATTTACAGGCGAAATGTCAGGAATCAGTGTCTCCAGAATGTGGCCACACCACCCGAAAAATCCACAGAAAACCACCTCTGAGTATTTCTTGCCTAAGAAAACCCTATGAAATTAATGGGGTTGCCATAAGTCAACAAGCAACTTGAAGGCACACATGTGCACACACAACAACAACATTAAACCAATGGTTGAGTGCATGACTCTGTAACACACACACACCTTACACACAAGATGTCAGTCTCTAGCCATTTGCTGTAGGAAGAGGTAGGTAGGTGACCAGATAGCATTAGTCCTGGATGCATTTCTATTGCTGGAGGAAATGCATCCCAGAGATGCCAAACTACAGCCAGGACTAGCATTGCCTGGTTGCCTCCCTTCTTCTCCCAATGCAAGTAAAGTATTATTGTTATAGTTATTATCTTTTTCTCAGTTTGGGACTGAGAAACGCTTACAAGCATTAAAGCAGATACAGCTAAAAGGTTTACTTTGTACAAGAGTTACAGTTATAAAGATCAATAAAGTTAAAAACAGTTAAAAATAAGCCATTAAAAATGATACATCATATGTGTTGTTTCTTCTCCCTCAGCAGTCAGCCCTCAAAGGCTTCTTGAAACAGAAAGGTCTTTACCTGCCTATGAAAGAATAAGGAGGAGAATGCCAGACTGCCCTCACTGGGAAAGGAGCCTGGATGCTGCCACCAAGAAGGCTTTCTCCCATGTTCCCACCAGATGTACCTGGAAGGGTGGTGAGAAAGAGATAATGGACTCCCAAGAAGATCTGAAAACATGGCCAGGCTCATATGGGAGATTATGGTCCTTCAGAAGGCTGTGCTTTGATGGTATTTTGGGCTGTTGCATGAGGAGCTAGTGAAAGTTCCTTGCACAAAGTCCCAGATCAAACATATGCAGTGTGCAGAAGCAAATGTTATGTGTATGTCACTAACAGGATTCCAGCCAACATATGTAAATGATTCTGAACACATGGGAAAAGCATTACAGGCAGTGTAGTGCGGTGGTTTGAGTGTTAGACTATAACTCTGGAGACCTGGGTTTGATTCCCAGATTGGCCACAAAACCCACTAAGGCAAATGATGTGCTGTCAGCTTCAGGAGAAGACAATGACAAACATCCTCTGAACCAATCTTGCCAAGAAAACTGCATGATAGGTTTGCTTTAGGTCAACATAAGTCAGGAACAACTTGAAGGCACATAACAAAAAGAAAGTGATCCACTACTGGCCCATGCGCAGAATGCTGACCTATAGCTCTGATGTAGAATGCTCGGCCACAGAATCTGAAACATTTAAGTTTATCACTCATCATTTCCAGAACGATCCAGGCACGGGCTGAGAATGGAATAGAACAGGTGAAAACATGTTTCAATGCTCAGGAAAATGCCACCAATGCTGCTGGGAATCCCCAAGCTGTTCCCCATCCATGCTATAGCAATTGATTTTTAAGAACTGTAGCTTTCCATTCTTCAAAACCAGCAGCCATGGAACAGATGGGGAATGGCTTAGGGACTCCTGGTGGCATCAGCGGCATTTTCCTGAGTGGTAAAATCTGTTCTCACCCATTCTGTCCCGTTCTTAGCCCGTGCCCGGATCATCTGAAAATGACAAGTGATAAACATAATTGGGGTAAGTCACACAGTAAACCAGCTCTATGAAGAGCCACAGCCTTAAGGCAGCTGAAGCACCTTCAAGTGGTGGAGCCCAAACACTTCTCTTTGCTATCAGAAATGAGATGCTTTTTGGAATGTCTCAAAGCCCTTGTCTATGGCTTTCCTTGATGGAAAAGGCAAAGATGTCTTCCTCCATCTGGAGGATCTACCAAAGGATATGTTAGGAACTGTGAAGTCGAAGGCTTTCATGGTCGGGCATCCATAGTTTTTTGTGGGTTTTTTGGGCTGTGTGGCCATGTTCTAGAAGAGTTTCTTTCTGATGTTTCGGCAGCATCTCTGGCTGGCAGATGTTATTTCCCCTTCTTTTCCTCACAGAGGCCTGGCTTATGATGGCTGACTGATTTTATGACATTTTCTGTTCTTTTTGGGTCCAGGTTATGGGAATGACTTGTCAGATTTGTAATTGTTAATACTTTTAGTAAGCTTCATTCCAGCAAGTTTTATCTTATTCTGTACAATTGACAGCTTGACCTCAGGGTCACAAAGAGAAATGTAGAGAGGCAGGGAAGAGAAGTAAGGGGAAATAAAAAGGAGAGGAGGGATGGAGCATGGCTGTCCAGGAAAATCACAAAAGTGTTTTTTCTCCTGTAATGCACTGCATATAATTTCAGTGACAACTGCTTTATTCAAATAAGTGCTATAAGCACACACATATAACACCTTGGATTACAATGAGCCTGAAAGGTAGTATCTTAATTTTCTTGGCTGGACAATATTAGACCAACCACATTCACTTCCATAAGTGATAGTAATGTTTAAGATCCCACACAATAGATTGTAAGGCTGAGATCAGGGACTATCTTTCCTTCCTTTTTGTGTTTACTGATGTATAAGCCACTCCAAGAGACTTTTCAGATGTTGAGTGGTATAGTAATGTTTGTTGTTAACTGCCCTTAAGTTGATTCCAGCCCATGGCGACCCTGTGGATGAAACATTTCCAAGACTCCCTGTCCTCCACAGCTCTTCTTAGTTCCTGCAAAGTCATACCCATGACCTCCTTAATAGAGTCCATCCATCTAGCATGTGGCCTTCCTCAATTTCTACTTCCCCCCACCTGTCTCACCATTATTATTTTTTTCTAATGAGTCCTCTCTTCTCATGATATGTCCAAAATACGACAGCCTAAGTTTTGTCTTTTTGGCTGTCCATGGGATCCTCAGCACTCTTCGCCAGCACCACATTCTCTCAAATGCATTTATTTTCTTCCTATCTTGTTTCTTAATTGTCCAGCTCTCACATCCATACATGGTATTAGAGAATACAATGGCTTGAATGATTCTAAATTTACAAATAGTAATGGTGCAAAGAAATGAACAAGATGCAACTCAAAAGACAGAGAATAGCATGAGGGCACTTAATTGTGCTGGTTCCTAGCATGGCTATTAGTCCAGATGATGAAGGGCCCAATTCCTAATTCTGGTGCTAACTGTCCTGATGACCCAGAGCCATTTCAGCACTGAACTTGCATTATACCACTCTTAAGATATATTTTAATAACTCACTTTTTGCTCTGGATCTTCCCAGAAAATCCAGAACTATTCAGAGGGATGCTAGGCAGCTATTACAATGTGTCCTGCTGTGCAGGCATGAGTCACTCCCTCTAAGATCAGAATAAGGTGCCAAGCCAAGTGATTGATGCTAGCTGTCTCCTTCTGATCTCAAGGTGAAGGCCAAGATGGTGATGCTGCCCACTCTCACATTCCACAATCAGAACTTAAATAAACTGAGAGTCAGATTTTACTTCAACACTGTCCTTGGGACAGTGTTCTCCACCACACCTGAGGGCCAGAAGGCTGGGTTGGAGATCATTTGGCACACCCCATCTCAAGATTCATGGAATTATAAAAGAGGAAGGGATTATAAGGGCAGTCCAACCCCATACAGAAATTAAGTAGATTGAGAGGAATATACAACTAAAGCCCTCCTGAGACAAAGACCTCCAATGAAGCAGAGCCCATCACTCTCTAAAGCAGTCTATTCTACAGTAAATATGTTCTTAATGTTTAGGTGGAACCTCATTTCTTGTAGTTTTAATCCATTGGTTTGGTGAGCAGCAGCTCCAGCTTTTACACGATATTCCACCAGATATTTAAAGATGGCTATCATGTCACTTCTCAGTCTACATTCTCAGATAAACATGGCCCCCTAAATTGTTCTTCATAGGGCTTGGTTTCCCAACTTTTGATCATCTTGGTTGTCTTCCTCTGGACCTGTCCCA